CTTTCCCTTTTTTTTCCCCGCACATAGTACGAGATGTAAGAATCGCTGAATTGTTTCGAATTAACTGACTTTTTAAACAAGGGGATAAATGTAGAAAAAAATACACGCGAATTAATTTAATTTTCATGAAATTGCAATCAGTCGCAATTAATTACGCAAATGTAATAACGATGATATATATAATTGAAAACAGACTAGCAATTATTATTATTGCCAGTAATTTATATCGTGGATATTTTATATTGGAATAGTATCTCGAATTAATTGCATCTCTCTGGCGGCTGCGTTTCAACGTTTAAGTACACTCACCGCTAGATCTCAATATTTTGACAGATCGATAAGAGGGTCTTGGAAAAATGGCGGTCGCGCAGCGGGCCCCGCGTACTATAAATCCGTCACGGGATAGTTCCCAGCTGTACCTGACGTCCGCAAACACAACATTGCTTTTCATGCTCCAGATATATCTATCTGTTTGCCTAGTCGTTTCCGTATTCGGCCGCGGAAGCGAAAAGCGGAGTATTGATCGAGTGAAAGCATATTTCTGCGATGCTCGTCTTTGATTTTTGATATTAGAAATTCTCATTACGTATCCCTCGTATTTTACTTGACGGCGCACGCGCGCGCGCACACACACACACACACACACACACATGCACGCACACATGTCTCGGTCCTTCTCTACGATTACATCCCTGCCGTTCTCATTCGGTTTACTACGCCTTCAGGTGCAACCTGACGCCGTACATGCTAGATGGAATTCGATATAAGCGTCCCTTGAACACGGAATCATTTAACACGAGAAATAAAAGGAGGAGGTAACTGAAACATTTCCAGCTCTTATTTCTCAAAGGTTTTGTGAGCCTTTTACTTGCTGCAATCGAAAAAATTCTTATTGCAGTCGCGCTCTACGCGATTGCGAGACACGATATTCTCAACCTGGCTGTAACGTATCATCTTTGATACATCCCTCTATAATGCACTTCAAAACGTGCAAGGCAATCTTGGTGCCTCGCAGACAAGATTTCGCGTGTATCACTATATATATGTATAAGAGGACGTATATATACGTATATATATCGCCTCGCGCGCGTATGTATTTGACTTTGTACCCCGCATAACTTAAAGTTACAAAGAAAAACGTTTCTCATATAACTCGGCGCATTTATATCAAATTCGCTCGAATGTAGACCGCATTACGAAAGAGTTTAACCGAAGTTTAAGAGGTACCGAGGAGAGAGAGAGAGAGAGAGAGAGAGAGAGAGAGAGAGAGTAGTAGGGGGCTAACTTTTCGGGCCCTATCCGCGCTACTAAAATCCAAACGATACAAGGAGCCTATCGCTCGAGCGAAAGCTGAGTCGATATATCCCACCCGTTTCCCACGACTGAAGGAATACTTAACTTTAAGTGCGGATTGGTGAGTGTGTGTATGTATGTACGCTTTTACTCACTCGGCGTAGGGGCGCTTAGGCTCTTAATAGAATACCGATACTTTCAGTCAGTCATTCGATATCGTGCTACAAGATATCCGAGGCCATCTTCCTCCGAAAGTATCGATATCTTATTTGTAACAATTTCCCGACGAGAAAATATATCGAAGAAATTAAACGAAATTCTCTCGATGCATATAATCGATGCGTATATTTACCGTAAAATTATACTATCAAATTATTCGAAATTATCGTTCTCGTCAAGTATAGCATTATCGTACATTATTTATTCAAGATTATTCATCTCATCGAGATGCCTTCTATTCCATCCCGTCCGCTATCTATATAGCTCGCGCTCGCAATATCGAAAGTGAGGCGTCTCTGCCAAAACTAGTCAGCGTCTAGAGCAAAGTATCCGGGGGGTATTTTGAAAGCAGGCATTCCTATCCGCACCCTGCACTCTTAGTCCACCTTACGTTGTTGCGTAGAGTGCGGCTCCCGCACAGGCGCTCGCGGAAATCTCCTCCTTCTCCCTCGCCCTCTCTCCCTCTCTCTCTCTCTCTCTCTCTTCCGTTCGGGCTTGTTCGGGGCCGGGGTGCTCCCATCTCGGTCGCGCGCTGCTCCAACATCGGGCACTTTCGGGCGCGCGCGTGCGAACGACCGAGAGAGAGAAAAAGAGGGGGAAGGGAGGAGGGGGTTACTACGTTGTGCCGCTGCGTGGGTGGAGGGGAGCGGTGCCCCGCGCTCCAAAGCCCGTAGGCCGCCGCCACTACTCGGCACACGCGATCACTGTGGGGCACAGAGAGAAGCGCGCGCTCTCTCTCTCTGTTTCTCTTTTTCTCTCTCTCTCTCTCTCTCTCTCTCCCTCTCCCCCCTGTGAATGCCTTCTCGCCGCTGTGCCACCCGCTATTTCCGCGCGACGCGTGCTCGCCGCACGATCGGGACGCGCGTTGTACCCCGTGAGCGTCGCCGTGACTCGTCGTCGTGAGAGGGTTAGTGAGTACCCGGTGTGCCCCCCCAAGTGCTTTCAGTCGGCGAGAAACTTCCACGCGCGCGGTTCGGTGAGAGAGAAGGAAGAAGGAGAGAAAAGGACAGATCGCGAGACGAAATATATACGTCGCGGAGATATTTGCGAGTGAATTTTTAATGTGAATCACCGCATTCGCGAAGAGGGTGGATTGTGCGCGATCTCGGAGAAACACGGAGTACAGTGAGGTTGATCTTCGATCGGCCCCCCCACACGCTCCCTCCCCCCCCAGCGGCGGATCCCGTGTGTGAGCCACGTTGTCTGCTCTAACTCTCGTCTCTTCTCTCCCTCAGAGTCGAACGACTCCGCGGTCGGAGACGGCAAGAAATCGGCCTGGATCATCATGGATTGGACCCGAGGGATCGGTCTGACCAGCGTGTTATTGTTCTATCTCGGATGGATCGGGGGTAAGTGTGTTGCACAGTGTGTTTTGTACGTTGTCGGTTTTTGCGTCGACCCGGCCTCGTGCGCTGACGCATGAATCGGGGCCTTTGTCGAACCGTTTCGTTAGCCTACGAAGGAGAGAGAGAGAGAGAGAGAGAGAGAGGGGCACGACGAGACGTATCCGTCGCGCCGCGCGCTGCTCGATCGATTCGATTAATCGTCGACGATCCGCGTCGGGAATGCGCGGCGTTTCGGACATCCGCCGGGGCTGCTTGACTATCGCGCGACGCTGTTTTGCTTTTGTTGTTCGCAACGCGCGCAACGTCGATGGCCTATTTGCGGCCGCTATTATGAGCGCGGGTGCACGGTTGACGATAACGCGCACGTTGAGCCGCTATCTGGAAGGTAGCCATCGGAAATTGTTGCACCAGGGGTGCGACACTTATCATTGTAACCGTTGCCTGACATAAGTATCACGTCTAGATTTCCGCCATAAATTCTGTAAAGCGATAAATTTGTAATTATTGCGCTAAGTAACTGTGTTCTTCGATAATTTTATAAGCTTTGGGAATACTTTATTCTTTTAACTTGAAAAGTTTTTCCCACTTGGATTATCGCATCAATATTCTCTTAATTTTTCGCCGATAATGGTGCCAAGTTTTTTTTTAAGGGTCTACGCGCAGGCTATTTTCTCTCTCGCTCCTCTCTGTTCACGAAATTAGGAAAGTTATGAAATAGGAGAGATATACTTTGTGTGGAAGGGCTGGGCCGCGTTCGAGAATATTACTGATTCTTGCCGCACTAGCCGTTTGAAAGTAGTCATACATTTATTCCGCCGCGACGAGAATGACGTTCTATTGGTAATAACTAAAGTGCTGAGTTTCTGAATTTTTAAGCAGGCTCGAGTGACTTATGCATTCGAGTTTGTGGAGAGTGTAACCGTTGAATACTTAAGTATTTGAAATGGTTTAAAGAAGCGATAAAATATGCTTTAGGATCTGCGTGCAGAAAAAATTTAAAAGTATGATTATATTAATATCTGATCCGCGGATGATCTCTGTTTGAAAACTAAATCGTGAAATCTGCGATATAAAATCGACGGCGTTAGAGGCGGGCATTCATGCGCCGAATAATGCAAAGAACCGTTTTGACATTTCGCAGATGTCTTCTTCTTTTATTGAATTTAAAATGATGGTTTAAACCGTTTTGAAGCTCGTACATCATTCCACTCGTCGAGGACAAAATGCCAATCGTCGGAATCCTTTAAAATTTCGTAAAAGCCAAAGCGTCCGAAATCATTTCGCTGGGAGCGAGTGCGGATTTTATGCGCGCACGAGTTTACAATGTCTCATTTTTAATGCGCGTGCGCGCGTGTGTACGCATAAATACATGAGCTTTTTTTATGAGAGAAAGAGAAAGAGAGAGATGCTGCCGCGATTCGAAAGAGAGTACAATTCAGCTTGCGAATGTAAAACGCGTGAAAAAAATAAATGACAACGCAACTGGCAGAAAGTATGTTGTCGCTTTTACTTCCCCCTCCCTTTGTCGTCAACGGACATTATCCCGGTGTTTCCGGCTTTTTTCCAACGCTCTTCAATTTGCGAAACGATTGCGGCGTACGAGATATGCATTTCCGAGGATTCGCACCTGTCCTCGTCTAATTCCGTTCTCGTTGCACTCTCTTTCGCGCAAACACGCGCTCCCATACCACTCATTCCGAAACTCATTTCGCGATATGGGATAAACAACGGGTAGGTATTGTCGGAAAACGCGAATGAAGCTCGAACGAAGATAATTCCGAGCCCAGTACGAGAACAGTGTTGTACGAACCAATTATGCACGTGATGCGTCGCGTTTCACGGATGTGAACGCATCACGGACTTGACACTTGTCGTTGATCGAGTATCGGGACGATGCCATCCTTTTTCAAAAAGTGCGAGCATCATTGTCTAATATTGCTTTGAAAATTTGAAATAAGATAAATAATAAATAAAATAAGAAGATAAAATATATATATAGGAAAGAATGTAGAAAAAAAAAAGAAAGAAGCGACGTGTATATCTTTAGGCACGCAATTCATAGGATTATCACCCGCAGGAGATTTTTAATGTGACATGATCGATCCCCAGCTAGCATAAAATATAAAGAATCAGCGATTAAACACTTGGTATCAGTAGCGAAATGACGATACTTGAATAACATCCCTCATGATTGACTCGACTTTGTTCATGTTTGCGCTGTTCCCTCGGGCTAATGCAGATGAAAAGAGGGGAATTACGCGATCGTCGTGCGAGATATCGACGAACGAAAAAAAAGAAGTCGTTTGTGAGATCGATAACGATACAGGGTACGGGGGAGACCCTCTGCGTGTCGCAGCGGATATGTATGTTTATCGCGTATGAACTTCAATTTCGTGATGGAAGTGGATTAATACAATTTAATGGCGCCCCGGGAGAATTATATGCGCGTCGACATCTCGTAGCTTGATCTTCCTACGAATACACATACATGTGTATGTACGTGTGTGCGCGAGCGCGGGTATGCGAGTCCTCACGATATGCATTGGCCTGAGGAGGAGGCACTTCCGCTCGGTATGCTTTTAATGATAATGAAGATAATGACAATAATTTAATTTGACCCTTTGCAAGAGAGAGAGAGAGAGGGAGAGAGAAGGAAGTCGCGTTTTCGCGTTGAACCGAAAAGCAATATCCCCTCCCCAAATTCATCCCTCGCAGGATGCAGTATGCAAATATTAAAGAGTTGCATTTCCCCATCTCATCTCTGACGTCGCACAGACTTAGTCTTAATCTTTCCTGTTATTTATCTTGACTGTTTGTTTCCAGTATCTTTTACCGACTATCTCTCCGTAGCGCTCTTTACTGCTCGGTGTTCCGTGTAATTTTTGTTACGCTCCTTGGGAGACTCTGCCTCCGTTGCAATTAATCTGCATTCATTCGTGTATCTTGCCGTTTGTCTTGTTAAACGGGGCATTATTCTATAACTCTCTGTTGACACCGCATACATTTGAAATAGCTACATTTAATCCTTATTTTTTTATGCGAAAATGTGACGGCGTAATTATTTTAACAACGATGGCCGTGATAATTATTCGCGTATACCCTTATCTTAAAGGATCGAGATAATGCCAAATAAATTGTATTTTTTTTTTCTCTCTATACTCAATGTAACATTGCTAATACGAAGACCGCACATATTATCATTTAATGTAGCCTCTCACAAGCTGCTTTTATACGTAGCTTTCGCGCTTCTAATCTTATGGCTTTACGTATAACAACGTTGCTAACGCTTTTAGGAACCCGGACCCCCAGAACATTCGCGTAAATATCTTTTTCTCTTTTATCTCTCTCTCTCTCCTTTTTTCCGCCTTTCCTTTTCGCGACCCACCGACTCGCGTAGGAGGGGCCGATAAAAAAAAAAGGAAAAAAAAAGAAATGCGTATGTACGGTTGCGAGACGGAAAAAAAAAAAAAGAAAAAACGCGGTCGCGCTTATGAGAAATGCAAACGACGTCGGTGGAGATCCGAGGAACAACTGTCACGGTCGCGTTCATTTCTGCTTCTATTTCCATACGCTCGTGGCGTGAAAAATATGAAGTCGCATCGCCGCCCCGTAAAAAGGAGGGCGCATGCAAAGGATGCGTAATACCGTGCTTAACCGCCACCGTCCGACCCCGTTCGCGGATCTTTAACCGCGCCGCCAATTTTTCACCACCGTATATTCCACACCATGATCAGATACAGCCGCATATTGCCCGCACGACACGATACCGGATAAATCTGTGCGAATCTTCCCAAAATCGTCCATCGCGTAATAAATCACGTTCGTTATACTCGGATGATGAGATAATACTTTTATAGATATTAATCGTGCGGCGCGTTACACTTTCCCTTAACTCTTTGTTAGTTAATCGATTTAATTTAATCCTCTTAATTTCGTTTAATTTAAAAAATTTCCTTTTATTATTTCGGCGCGAAAACGAATACCGCGGTGTACTCTTGTTCGTTTTATTCGGAAAATATATCGGAAAAATAAGGACACTCGTGATACGCCAAATTTGATTTCTAATTTGTGTTCTCCAAATAAATGTTTCTCAACCGCTCGGAAATACAGAACTCATTTATTAATTAACTCGTTGCCCATTAATACCGTTTCCATCCGGGTTAAGTAAATACAACCGGCGCACGTTCGTCGGCGGACATTTCGGTATGTTCTGTTTGTTCGGTCGTCGAAATCGGCTGGGTTGAAAGCCGCGACCGCGATGGCGCATAAACCGATGGTGAGGAGCGAAGGGTGAACGCGCGACGGGAGTGAAAAACCGGATCCCGGAGGGTAGAGGGAAGAAGGACGAGGGTGGAGGCGGGGGAGGGGATTAACGGCGCGCTGCGGCGGTGGTGGCGTCGTTGTTACCGTTGTTACTATCGACGAAATTACGATACCCAACGGGATGAAGAGAAGAGGGGAGGGGAATGAGGTGGGGGGTTGGCTGCGGCGAACTGTGATCCCCGCGCGATAGTTTCGAGACGTAACGCGCCCCATTCCGCGCCCCCGTTTCCCCCTTCCCTTCTACCCCGCGTGGGTTAACCCCCGCAAGCGTTTGCCGGCCGTCAGATCGAAAAATCGCGCCGTTATGTGCACGCGCGCGAGCGAGCGAGCGAGCGAACGAACGAACGAGCATCGCGACCCTCGTACTCGAGAGACGCGACGTTACATCGGATTCTATCGCGAGAGGAAATTGCGCGAGGTAGCGCGCCGGCTAGAATACAACCGGCGATTTCTACCTCGAAATCGCGAAACGAGACATTTAGTCCCGCTCGTGAAAGAGACGTATATGATGTCGAGCACGTTCACCCATCTTCCAGTTTCCGGGATTACACGAGAGAAGTTCGCCAAGAGCAATGAAATATTGTTCTCTCATATTTTTATTACATCTAGTTACCAATCGTATTTCCTTTTCTTGTTTGCGAGAGAGAAAAAAAGAAGTCTATCCAAAGTTTCGACATTAT